TTTGTTCTCTTTATAGCTTTGAAGCCCTTCTCGTATTATCGTTTTGCGCATCTATGGACATAAAATGTGACTTTACATGCAACTTAATTTAAGGCTAGGGACCTTAATTTAATTCAATGTCATAATTGTTTCAAATTTGTGTAGGTTTTAGGTATAAAATCTTTGTCTGAAATAGTTACTCAACAATTAAAGACATTGGTTTAATAACGAGGTAATTATTGAACATGAACGGCGTTCGCTCTCAAATGTCAGGATGTGTTTAGATAACGTGCATTCTCTTTAGAATAATTTAGTACACATTTATTGTTCTTTAACAAGTTCAAGCGGAAAATCATCAAATGCAATTATTAACAAGTATTGTACTTTTACCCGGAAGAAATAGGTCACTTGCACATAACTAACGGAATTTAATGACCAATGCTGTTATACATAGTGTAAGATTCGAGATACTGATAAAAACAAACATAGAAACTTTTACTTGTTCATTAATTTTTTAACCGTATACCAATATTTTCTTTCATATATCTTTAATACTTAATTGTCAAAACATTTTGATATTTTGTAGGCATACTTAAGTAATGTCAGAATGGGGAAAAATGCGTTGGTCTCCTCTCGATTTGAATTTTCAAATTGTCAATTTTATACATTCATGAGCCAATATACATGTAAATGATACAGCGGAAATATATGACTAGATGCCGGATCAAGTTCCCTACAGGCGAAGCACAAAATCATCCTTATGAAACTTGTAGCATAGACCGAAGTAATAAAAAACTACCTGTCTTCCCCACAAATAATCTTCTATGTTGAAAATAATGTACTGCAACCGGAAAGCGCGATACTGAACACGTTCTTTAGGGTGAGATTACGACTATATGTAATTTCAATTCATTTGATTTACTATTACTCATTTGACATAATGTAGTTCAAAATTATTAGAAACGGCCTGTTATCGTAAGACAGCCATCCTTGCATTAAAAATATATATCCCCATAAAAAAGTTTCAAGTACCAGAGGCGGAAACGATCTCTCATCGACCTTATTAAATGTCTGAACTTTCCCTTGAGTGCTTGTATGTCAAAAACATGACAGTAAACAAATGACATTTGTTCAAATTTATAGTAAATGCAGACAGACGAGACATACCGTTTGAAAGTAAAGTTCACGTGATCATGATGTTATAGCCGGTGATAGTTTCTTTGGAATAAATTTGGGATAAATATAAAAACTATCCATTGTTCTACACTTTCATGTTTTCAATGTGAATACAAAGTTATGTTTTCTATGGGAAGTAAGACATCTAGACCCCTTGACTTCTCGACCCCTTGTAAGATGACTTTTCGACCTCTACTGACTAAGACATTTCGACCCCTGTTTTAAATGTTGGACTTTAAAAGAACCGTAAATATATTTTGAAAATATTGTAAGACTTTTATATAATATTTAAGTTTTTCTTTAAATTTATATGTTTTTTTGAAATATTAGTTGCAAAATTTACATTTTTATAAATTTGATTTTGGTGATTAACAAACAAATCACAGTTTTTATTTGTTTAATTATTGACTAAAATCGGATTAAAGTCCCGTGGTTTAATGTAATGGTGCTAATTTCTAATTACGTCATTAGCACATTAAGTAACAATCATTTTTTAGATATATAACATCGTGCGTAACAAATAATCTTTGATGTTATAGAAAGTCTTTGCTAATTACTTTCACACATTTTTTATTCATATCATTTACTCAAACTTGTGAAGATATACAATTCAATTCAATATCTTTATTGCATTAAACATTTTACAATGCTTATAGCACATACAAATATATACATTGGCAAATGAAAACATATCCAAAAGAGAAAACAGCATACAAATTGTTTTAACAAATATAATTTTGTGTTAGATATTTTACAAAGTCTTGAAACAAATACAATTTTTTGTGAGATATTTTCTTCAGGTGTCTACGAAACGCGGATTTTATCTGCAAAGAAAACGAATTTTGCTAGTTGGGAAATAGATTTTTTTGATTTAGAATTCATTAGAAGTTCAAACTTATTTATTGTTGGCCATCGGCAGAAATATGGTTTAAGATATTTTTTTCGGAGTTCGCGGTAATTAGGACAGGCAAGTAAAAAATGGAACTCATTTTCCACTACATTCATTGTGCACGATTTACAAATACGTCGTTCACGCAGCGTGTTGTCATAGCGACCTGTTTCGATAAACAAGTTGTGGGAGGAGGTTCTAAATTTTGAGAGGGCTATTTTGTATTTTGACTCTAAAGAACAATTTAAATATGATTCGACTTTAAAACTATGTTTGAATATGCAGTAAGACTCTAAACGCGTGGAATTATTTATATCGCTATACCAGCGTTGTAAGTACGCGTCAAAGATACGTTGCTTAATCATTTGGAATGGAATATCAACAAATTCTTGTTGGTCCCAAATGTAACTTAATCCATGTGTTTCCAGTATACTTTTTACTTGGCCGGCCCAATTTTTCCTCTATAATCTACCCCGTTTTCAACATCTGACTTAAGAAAAATGTACGTTTTTTTAACCAATGAGTTATCTGGAAGTTTTAAAATTTTCACCCAGTACTTTATTATGTTGATTTTTCTGTAAACCAAGAGTGGCATGCGCCCTAGCTCACCGTAGAGAGCGGATAAATTTGTGGAACGTTTAACGCATAAGATTCGACGTAAAAATTTTGTGTGAACTAATTCCACGTCTGTTGCTTCCGTGCATTCCCCATACTTCCGAACCAAAATGGAGGATCGAACCAACGAGACTATCAAATAATTGAAGGATCTGTTTCACAGGTAATTCAATGTTATTTAAAATAGATATTAAACCGTATAGGGACCTAGAAGCATGCTCTGCTATACATTTTTGCGTACGGTACCAATTACCATTTTTAAACAAATTAATGCCCAAGTATTTAAAAGATGTGACTGTCTCGATTGGCGTACCATTGATATGGAAGTTTTGATGAGTAGCGCGACCTTTTTCAAAAACCATTGCTTTTGTTTTGGAAATATTTATTTCCAACCCCCACCGTCCGCAATAGTTCACTAGATCATCTATCATTGATTGAAGGCTGGTCGGAGATTTGGCGAATAGTGCTTGATCGTCGGCATATAGTAACAGAAAATATTGTAGTTCATTCACAGTAAAAATGTCATCGATGTTTGTGTTTATGTTTTGAGAAATGTCATTTACGAAAAACATGTACAGCAGAGGGGAACTGGGGTCCCCTTGCTTCAAGCCTATATCAGAGCTGAAAAAATCAGACATCTGGGAGTTAAACCGCACGCATGACCTAACAACCGTATACATTGATCTTAGAGCCTGTACAAATTTTCCACTAACGTTTTCTGCCAGTAACTTGTTAAAAAGAAATGCCCTATCTATTTTGTCGAAACATTGCATGTAATCGATAAATACACAATAAAGTTTTTGCCCTGAGTCCAGCACTTTGTTTATTATTGAGTGCAAAATAAAAATACAATCTATAATTGATTTCCCTTTTTGAAAACCAAATTGTTTATCGTCAAGTTTTTCATATTTATTTGACCATTTTGTTAATCGATTTAATAGCAATTGAGAATATATTTTAGCAAGGACGTTAATCAAAGTTATACCACGATATTTTTTTGCCTCGTTTATCTCCCCTTTTTTGTAAACTGGCGTAATATTACCATTTCCCCAAGAAGTAGGATATTCGCCATTATTTAACATTCTATTGTAAAGTTTAATGAGAAAATGTGAAATATGCTCATAACTGTGTTTGAATATTTCACTTGTTAAGTTGTCTAAGCCTGGACTTTTGTCATTATTTTGCGAGAAAATCGCTGATTTTATTTCAGACTCAGTGAATGGCAGGTCTAAATCGTTATCTATTTGTCCGATATTCAAAACAGGATCCCTATTTTCGTTTTGCATTTGATCGCTCCCAAACATTGTTTTAAAATGATCAAATAAACTACTTATATTTAAATTATCTGCCTTCTGCGATTTATTTTTCGTATATTTTTTTATCTTTTTCCAAAAAGATTTCGGTTGTGATTTAGCTAAATTACTTATGTTATGTCCTTCTTTCAATTTATATTTACGCCGTGCCTTTTTTTTCGCCCTATTATAAGATGTTCTCGCTTGAATAAATCTAGATCGGTTAGCGTCATTTTTATCTCTATTAAAAATATTTCTTGCTGATTTAAAATTCAATTTTGACAATTGGCAGTTTTCATCGAACCATTCTTTTTTTTTATTACAATATTTCCTAGGTTTATTGGTACGAGTTTCGGAAGGTTTTCCGAATGTCGCGCGTGTACAGTCATTTAGTAAATTTGTAAACCCGTCAACTACGATGTCAATCGGTGAAAATGAAATGTCGTCTGCTAAATTATTTATGACGTCACGATTGTTAATGACATGCGATGTGAACGAGATAATCTTTTCATTGTCCCAAATAATTTTTCCGCTCTGATATTCCGTATTTGTATTCGAAACTGTTTCGCAATCTATTGGATCGCTAGCAATCCGTGCAAGAGTAAACAAAATTGGAGCATGATCCGAGAATTCATTGAACTCTGCTATTTCGAAGAATGTTATATTTTCGAAATCGGCATAGTTCAATAAAAGGTAATCAACAGTGCTTAAGCCTTGACCGGAACAAAAAGTGTAATCGCCAGGTTCATTAAAAACGCGACCGTTAGCTATTAAAAAACCCGTGGACTTACATAAATCGATTAATCGCTTGCCGTTATGATCTATGACCTTATCTTTGTTCACACGTATAGAGATATTTGGATTAATATTTAAAAAATCGGTATTTTGATCTAAATATTTATCATAAGTAATAAAATCTTCAGCATCAGCAACTCTGCTATTCAGGTCACCTGTGACATATATTTTTCCTAGGTTATTATATATCAAAATGTCAAGTTCTAGCTGATCAAAGAAATCAAAAATCAGAAGTTCTCACTAATTTAGAGCTACTAGGTGGAAAATAAGTATGGCATATATATACATCACGGTTATCAGAAAACAATTTAGCAGAAAGTTTTAACCAACATATTCCATGTTGGTTTTGCTCTACAACACTAATATAACGCTTAAATTTTTCTTTAAAATAAATAGTAATACCTCCACTAAATCGTCCTTTTGATGTACCCTTTGACTTATTTCCAGACATATGAAAACTACAGAAACCACGAATATCAATATTACAAATATTTTGATTAGATATCCAAGTTTCACTTAAACAAACAACGTCAAAGTTTTCAATGTAACACAAAAAGTCAGGATCTGTGATTTTTCTTAAGAGTCTATTGATATTCCACGATAAAATTGTTAATTCAGCCTCTTCTGGACACCTCTAATGTTCCATGCCCTCGGGTTTATATAGCTTGCCGTTAATGAATAGGTTCTTGCCAACGAATCTTACCGTCTTTCCAGCCTTTTTTGCATTTTCCATGACGTCATACAATGGTTTTCTCGCATCCCTGATAGCTTTCGGTAGCTGTATCCCAATTCCGACGCCGGCGGCTCTCAATTCCCCGCTTTTATCGTAAGATTTAAGCCTCACAGCTTCACGTTCCGCAAAGTAATGGTACGACACGAGGATCGGACGGGGTTTACTTCCTTTTTTCCCGATTCTCTGCGCACGTTCAATCAGGTATGTGTCTGCTTCTGGCATCCCTAATATATCCTTACAAACGTTTTTTACCCGTGACGTGCAGTTTTCATGCTCTTATACATAAAAACGCGTATTTTCTACATCAATTCAGTTTTATTAAAATTAAGCGTGTTTCCTATTATATTGCCTCATAAATAGTGAAGGAATAGTATTACAGACTTTTTTGTGTGTTTATTTCTCATAATCATATTACTTTATTAAATGATAATTCATTAAATGATAATGTCCGTTTTGTGTATTGCGTGCGAGGATACTGTTCGTCCTTTACAACATGCCGTCACATGTGACATTTGTGAGAAGGTGCAACACAGAACCTGCAACACTGGTTAGTAATGTTTCATTTTTCAGTTTATTGTTTTGTAAGACATGATAATGTTATATTGGCAATGAACGTTTATACTAAATGAAATATTGAATTGTGTGTAATAGTTTACGGAAATGTAATTATTGACTGCGTAATAATTAACGGAAGCTGACCCCATATTTATCAAAATAAAAAAATACTATCAGTAATTTTAGGTAAATGATATAGTTGAAGATAAATTTATTGACTGACTTGGTCTGTCAGATATTTACAAAAATATATATGACTCACTACTAAAACAATTAAAATTTCCTTTTTGCAACAGTGAAAATTAGAATGAGTGTGCTTCAAACTGTATCCAATAAAATTATTAAATAATAAAGGATTTATTTTTGATACACATTTAATCACTTGCAAACATATTTTGACCACAAAAAATGAAAATGACAAATAAGTTATCATCATACATCTCCCGTATGCTTGTTTAACATGTATGTGTTTAATCCGTGACACATGATAGGATAAACACCGGCGCGTGCCGTTAAATTCATACATGTATGTGTTTATTCAGTGACACGTAATTGGATTAACACCGGCGCGTTCCGATACTAATCCGATTATCGGTCATTAGAAAGGTATATACATGTATTATCAAAAAGGTCAAGGTCAAGTTTAAAGATTGGCGGTCGTTTGTGTTTAGCTCTTACAAAAAGTGAAAATTTATATCGTTACGTTCGGAATATATACAGGATTTTTACATAAACATTTGCATCATGTTCCATTTTAACGGATTTTAAAGGATATGGGACCTAAACGGGAAAGAAAAAGGAAAAATAGCAGTAAAGGGGAAACGCCAAAAACAGATAGGGGAACAAAAGACTCTAGAAGGTTAGAGGTCAAAACTTGTGACGACACGGTTTTGTCCAGTACACTAACAGCTGAAAATCGCTCACAAGGGAATAGTACATATTTACAGTTACTAAACATTTCGGTGAATGATCAGATATATTCTAACAATACGGATTGTTATACTATGGATCAGATTAAAGGCAATAACGGGATGAACTATAACCCTCAGCAATATGTACAACTACCGTACAGTAATCAGTGTCGAACGCCTGTGTCTGTTATGCCAACGAATTTTACGCAAGAATGTACACAAAATGTCGGAGCGACATCTCCATATGAGTTTCAACGCATAAAACAAGTAACAAATGAGGAATTGATGAAATTCATTAGTGGAAAATTTGAGGAAATGAACACTAGACTCAATAAATTAGAATCGGTGGAGGAAAGGTTACAAAACTGGATGATAAACTCAATAAGTTATGGTCTGATTTAGATAAAAAGAGTGGCTAAAAGTGAGGATAAATTAAGTTCCGTGGAGGACATGGTGGAATTACATGATTTTAATTTGGATAAAAAACAAAAGAGCAGCGTATCAATTTTACAGTCTGAAAATAAGAAATTAAAAGAGACTATTATTGATATCCAAGCTAAGTCTATGATGTGTAATTTGATCATTGGTGGGATCAAAGAATCAAAGGATGAAACAGCCGAACAGACACTTGGAAATGTCAAAAAATACTTTCAGGACGATTTGAAGATCCCCGAGGAAAGTTTGGCAACACTAGAAATAGAGAGTGCTAGACGAATTGGCGTTCGAAGACAAAATAAGCCAAAAAATGTATTAGTTACTTTCAACAACCTTAAGACAAAAAAACTACGTAAATCATTCAAAGATAATGTCAATCCTAGAGAATCTGGACTATTCATGCATGATCAATATCCGCCGGAAGTTGTTTCACAAAGGAAATTACTTGTTCCAATTATGAAAAGGGCTCGAGAGGCAAAAAAGAAGCATATATCAAATATAACAAAACTTATCGTGGATGGTAAAGTGTATACAGATGGTCCGTATGGACGGTACCGTAGGAAATTC